TGTGGATAAACCCCGGATATGGGGTCCCCCCCCCCCCCCCTAAACATAATTACATAATTTCTGTAATAAGGGCATACATTTTTTTAAGCATAGCGACATGTATTCAAACAATTCACTAATGATCAAGTTTATGATCTGGTCACATTTTGTCAGTAGCAGTCTAGAAACCAACCTGTCTAGCTTAGTTGTTGATCCTCCTGTCTTCTTAGATCCCAAAAGATGAGCATATTCTAAGGTTCCTGCGTGCACGGGACTTCAACATAGATAAGGCACGAGAGATCCTTTGTCAGAGTCTGACCTGGAGGAAGCAGCATCAGGTGGACTACCTTCTGGATACCTGGAGCTCTCCTCATGTGTTGCACGATTACTACACCGGAGGCTGGCACCACCACGACAAGGGTGAGTGAGCACGTTGATGCCCTGTCAGTTAAAGGTATTTCTCTCATTCATTCGTTGCCAATACATACAGGCTTACTGAAGTGTTTATTTTTGTGCTGTCAATTTAACATGTTAATATAACAAATTAATTTCAAGAGGAAATAAATTAATGTGTTCAAATTTTAATTTGAACCTAATTGTGTCTAAAATATAACGCAATGTTAAGTTCTTATTTATTGAAATGTTGTATAAAAGCAACATCACATTTGCACTTATGCTATTAGGGACAAAAACAGCACTCGGGTGATATTGCACTTGTTGCTCTTGTGATATTGCTTAACTATATCATTCATAAGATATAAATATGAGACAAAGTCTCATACAGGGGTGTTTTTTCCTTAATATCTTGAATTTTAGGGGCATATAATTTGGCTGCGGAAAAAAATAATCCTACATTTAAAAAAAACTTGATATCACTTTCGAGTCCATGACTTTCAGTCAGGTTTCACTCTCAACTAAACTAACATTACTAGCCAATCAGAATGTTTTGCTCTTATAAACACGAGACGAGCATAATAGTATCCAACTGCAGAGTCGCAGCCCTGATGAATGGAGAAGCGCGAAAAAGCTGCGAGGCGCAATGTTCAAAGATGTCCATCTAGTGCATATTTACATGGAAAAACTAATTAAAAAGCAGCAGAGCTTTATAAACAGCTCAGAGTAATCACGTCATCTCCATAAGTACGATATGATTGCCAAAACAAATTTACCGGGATTTTAAAAAAGATCCTGTTCACACATGACATGATCTCTTAATGGTAACTTACTGGTAAAGACTAAAGGATAAACTCTTCCTCTGTATATGCTGTGAATTTTAATTGCTTAACGTTCATCTGGGGAAACTGTGCATTTTCTCACTAGATTTGTAACGCAAATCATTTATAAACCTTTGCCAACACAGGAGAATACATCATATTTCTAAATATGTCATTTATTGTACATCGCTATTTCAAAATAAAAGTTTCTGAGTTTGCATGTGGCCAAATATTAAAATTGAATGGATTTAAACATGTTTAATCATGCTGTAAAGTGAAACGTCACCAGACCGTTGGTGCCCTCTGCAGGTATTTGTTATAATACATACCGTACTTAAGTTGGTTATGCTCATATTATGTATAGGCATATTACATTATGTATTTTAACAGTGTTGTTCAATAAAACCATGTAACGTAATTACTTGGTTTTGATACTTTATTTGAGCCAATTATTATTGCCTCATTGTTAATTTATATAAATAGTCATACTAAAGCCTGTTTTTTTTTTCACTTAGTGTTAGTGAAAAAACTTAGTTAGATGATTTGTTACTAAAAATTATCAGATTACTCAGTTGTCAAAATAATCAGTAGATTACTTAATCAGTTACAGCCCTAGATTAGTTAAAATATTTCAAAATACAACTGCATTGTTTTACTTTTTGTAATTAAAAGACAAATATTTTGTCATTGAAAATTTCTTAAAAATAGTATTAAAATATTGTCTTGTTCTAGTGAACCAAGTATCTGTATTTTGTCTCATCTCGTGAGCTAAGTGTATTGTCACACCCCTAGTTTCGATAAGTGGTGATATAGCTTATAATTTTCCAAGTGTATGATATAGCTTTCATTCTTCAGTTCAACCATATATTAATGAAAAAAAAAACAGTTTGAATAAGGAAAGCAATAACTCTGCCATAGTATCCTTTCAGATGTTAAAGTTGCCACAGTTGTTGCATGTTTTGCATGTGCTGCCCCATCCCCTCCCCTGGAAAAAAGTTCAGGCTCAGGATTTTTATTTATTTATTTTTTTTGCTTTAACCCCTGATCATGTATGTATGCATAGTTTAATACAAAGGGCAGAAAGCCAATCACACAGAGTACATTTCTCATTTAAAAACATGAGACGAAGTTAGACTTGCATTAATTTTACATGGCTTTCTACATCTATTACCATTACGAGTGCAATGGTAATAGATGTCCCTCTAGAAAATGCACGAAATATGTGTTCTGTGTGAATGCTTGGTTTCAGTTTTGATGTAAACAAGATCTTTTCTGCATTGATACTCTTTTTCAGCAAATATTTTTAATTAACAACACAGCAGCGCCGCATCCAGTGGGTTCAACTGGATAGGCTAACAAAAACATTATAATGCAACGACACTTACATCGTCATCGCATCTCGTGCGCCACTGATAATTTTTTTTGACAGCCCTAGTTCAACTTTTAATAACTTTTAATAAATTTATGTGAAATTGTATAAGTTCATGATTTTAATTAATTAGACATGCTTTTTTGATTAATAAAATGTCATTTAACCATTAAAAATAAGTTGAGAAAAATTTAAACAGAATCCAGAAACATTTAAATGGAAAAAAACGGAATTTGGAAAGAAATAAAACAGAATTTGGGAAAAAATAAAACAAATTTCATAGGGCCCTAATTAAGACAGTGGTTCTTAATCCTGCTCCTGGGGATCCTCCTCTCTGCACATTTTGTGTGTTTCTCTTATCTGACACACTCAGGCTGTATCCGAAATCGCCCCCATACCCTTAAAGGGGTGGTCTACTGGCTTTTTTACATCCATTCTACATCCATTTTTACTGGTGTCCGAAACCATTATCGAGTGCTCTCATTCAATCCCACAATGCACTGCAAAAACAAGTGTACAACCGATTTATACTCAACGGCTAGAGAGCGTCTCACCAGATGTCGCCTGCAGGTGAATCATCCATCCATTCATTCATTTTACAATGCGGTCGCCTATGGCTTAGTGCAGCGTAAAACAACACAGGTATACATTTATTGTAAATGTATTATTAAGTTGTTTAACAAGGGTTTATACATAATTTCCATGACATTGTTCAAGATAAATCCTAGCTGCCAGTTTCAAATTATTATTAAACAGCAAGCACAAACTATGCAAAAGCGGCAGTCCTTCCGGTGCACTCAGTGTCCGAATTCACTCGTTTTCATTCACTCCTTCAAGTGACTTGAATTACTGAACTAATGTAGGGAATAGTGAATGAGGGTATAGGGGGCAATTTCAGATAAAGCCTTAGTTCAGTTCATAGAGCTCTCTCCTGACGAGCTGATGATCTGAATCAGGTGTGTTAAATAAGGGAGACTTGCAAAATGTGCAGAGCAGGGGTCCCCAAGATCAGGATTAAAAACCACTGCATTAAAACTTTTACAGCCACTTACTGACATTTTTTTGTTTCTTATTTAGAGTATAATTTCATTATTCTTTTTTTCATATTTACATATTAATAAAAAAATCTGGTGTGTTGTGTTTTCACATGCTTAAACCCTTGTGTTTCTGTGTTGCTTTCTACAGATGGCAGGCCTCTGTATATCCTACGCCTAGGACATATGGACACTAAAGGACTGGTTCGAGCACTTGGAGAAGAATCCCTGCTCAGACATGTAAGAGATTCTATAATCCACATTTTACATCATGCTCTCTGGTGTATTCTATTCATATGAATTCAAATGAATAGTGCAGAGTCTTAACAGCATATATGAATTTTAAGGTGCTGTCAATCAATGAAGAGGGTCTGAGACGCTGTGAGGAGAACACCAAAGTCTTTGGTCGGCCAATTAGGTACTGACAGGACTAGCAGATTTGTCTTTTTTAACCATAAAGTGTAATATTATGAAGTAAAGTGATGTGTGGCCAAGTATGGTGACCCATACTCGGAATTTGTGCTCTGCATTTAACCCATCCAAGTGAACATGCACACCGTGAACACACACATTTACAGTATTTACAGTTAAAACACTCAATTGCATTTTGTCTGCAACAAGCCCCGTCATATTTTCTCATCCTATAGTTGTTGGACATGTCTTGTCGATCTTGAGGGGCTCAATATGAGGCATCTGTGGCGTCCTGGAGTCAAAGCTTTGCTGAGGATTATTGAGGTGGTGGAGGCCAATTACCCAGAGACCCTGGGCCGTCTACTCATCCTCAGAGCTCCCAGAGTCTTTCCTGTCCTGTGGACTCTGGTTAGAGACATAGCTGTTTGCTTTTAAATTGATCTTCTCTGCTAAAATAAAGATGGGAATGGCATTTTAACATGACATGCCATATTCATTTGTTCAAGTTATTAACCCCCTTATATTCACAGTCCTTTATAAAAATTGCATGAAGTAACAACCTCTCATTTACAAAGTACATGAGTCACCCAGTTTAAACTCTTAGTAGCCTGATTTAAAGGAAGCATATTATGTATGTATCAATGGTGCTTTCCTTCTCTTATCTCTTTACAGGTGAGCCCTTTCATTGATGAGAATACACGAAAGAAGTTCCTGATCTATGCAGGAAATGACTACCAGGGCCCTGGCGGTCTTGTGGACTACATTGATAAAGAAATCATCCCTGACTTCCTTGGAGGAGAGTGTATGGTGTGTAATTGTATTTCCCCTATGTTTTGTGACTGAATGGTGTCTATTCACTTGCATAATAGTAAAGCTTGCTCCCAGTAAGATGATCTGTATGCATGTGTTCAAATTTGGATATTATGTGTCTCACCTTAGTATGGTTTTAGTGGCTTATTGAACTAAAGTTATGGCACTGTGAAATATGTGCAGTGTGAAGTGCCAGAGGGCGGCCTGGTTCCCAAGTCACTGTACAGAACTGCAGAAGAACTGGAGAATGATGAGATCAGACTTTGGACAGAGACTATTTACCAAAGTGCCAGCATCTTCAAAGGAGCACCACATGAGGTCAGACTTGTGCATTAGAAACAAAATTATGCAGCAGGAGTTTGGTTTTGTTTGGTGTATTTGCATAGTAGGAACACACAATCTACATTTTATTTATTCACAAAAACTTGATTTCAGTCTGAGAAAACATAGAAAGTGATTTTCGTTCCCATATCTGGGCACTACTTTTTCAATGAATTTTTGCATAGACAACAACCTTTTGGACTTTAGGTTAAAAGTTATCCACAAAATATCCCGCAGTTTTTTTTGTCACAATCCATAAATGCATATAATTGTGAATTTAAAATAACTAAAATCTTATTCTGCTGGTTTTACTTGGAGCTTTATTTATATTCATTTTAGCAATGCAAAAATCTCTCAAACTGACATTTATACATGTACCTAAATATTTGAGACCAGAATTGGTGCATTAGTGTATTCAAGTGTGAATGCAGACCATGAAATATGGAAAATTCATAGAAAAAACACTTCAACTTCACAGAATGTCACCAAGCATAATTAAAGATACACATTGTAAATGTAACAAATCTGTGATGTTTTATACATGAAAATTTTCAGTAGGCACTGTGTAATCATAGAAAGATAAAAAAGAAGTACGATTTGGCCCAAGTTGCCAGAAATTATTCAAAACGCTACCCCGTCCCCTTTCATTTTCAATAATGCCAAAAATTGACAACTCTACATTCATTACAGCTCAAAATCTGCCTAAAATATGACACAGCACATCTTTACTCATCCTATCACTCTCATCAGAGCTTCATCCTGTGTGTGTCTTTCCTCTGTTTTCTGGGAAACATTTGCACAATATTGGCACTGACATTAAGGTGACCAGACATGTCAGTTCTCGGGAACACCTATTTTGATGTCATACAACGATCATTCTGCGCAGCGCAAACAACTTACACCTGGTTATTTTAGGCAATTTAGAAATCCTGTGCAGAACATGTCCCCGGGTAGTGGCACGTCTGGTCACCTTAACTGACATAAATCAGTACAACACAGTCTTGGAGACATACAGGAACATCTTTCAGTCTCACATTTGCCTTGCTTGCAACTGCAGTGAACTACCTGCAACACACTTTCAGGGGCAAGATTTCTAGTCATCCAGGTCACTGTCTCATTATGGCTGCTTTTTAGTTTGCCCTTTTGCAGTGTTGGTACAGGGCAGGGGTAGGCAACATCAGTCCTGGAGTGCCGATGTCCTGCAGAGTTTAGCTCCAACCCTGAAAAAAGAAAAACTTACCTGCCTGTAGCCTTAGTAATCCTGAAGTCATTGATTAGCTTGTTCAGGTGTGTTTGATTAGGGTAGAGCTAAACTCTGCAGGACAGCGGCACTCCAGGACCGATGTTGCCTATCCCTGGTACAGGGCATCACTTGTCGGGGGCATGGATAGTTCTGGCAAAGCTGACGATGCCATGGAGCAAGGCTTTGTATCTTGCATCATTCACAGTTTCAGCAGATGACTGGCCATACTGGTGCCTCACATATTTGCTAAGTAGTTTAAAGCTCGACTGGTCCAGGGTAAAACTGCTACCCAGATTTGTAAATGCAGTCAGGTAATCCTCTTTGTTTTGCCTTGGCCATATAAGGCGCTTGTAGGGTCACAACCTGAGAAGGTTTGGATCACTGTGAAAGTTAAAATGCACGGTGTATCAGCTTCTACGTGTTATAAAATATGATTGACTATCATTATTATGAAATCCATTGCTGTGAGAAAAAAAGCTGACTAAACGCTGGCTAAAATCATAGGGCCAGTTTTACTAAACACGGCAAATTAGCGCGAGAGCGCAATTCCAAAAGAGCACCAATGGGCGTGGAAATTTCTGCGGGTGATTTACTAACAATGCACAAATTAAAGAACACAGACGCAACATCTCATTTACATATCGACCAACGCAATATACCAAGCGCAGCCCAAATGAGCGTAGTCGCAAATAAACAAAGAAATAAATAAGCCACAGTACATTGAAAAGAGGCCAAAAAATTAAGGGTTGCAACAGGTTTGATAGACCTGGTATTGCGAGACTCCTAGTTGAGGGTTCCAAGTCGTCTTTTTATTTCCTGAAGCAAATTAAAAATAACATGGCATGGCAAACTATATGTTCGGATAATGTGTTTTGGCATTCAAAATAAATTAATATGTGTGTAAAAATCCTCTCCCTTCTACTACGCGTTCTCTGTTCTCTGTGTGGGCGGGGACAATGCCACCTAAAGTAACAAGGTAGATAATTTTCTACCACTACAGGTTTTTCCAAACAAATGGAAGAACAAGCAGAGGGGTACACAACCAATCTTCTTTATTTGACACTTAAATATAGACTAGACAAAATGTATAAATCACACAAAACACAAGTTCGTTAGAAGAATAATATGCAGTGGCCACCGGTAATAATGTATCTTGACAATATCAATATCCCTTGGGAAAATTCAACATTTGGGAGGAAAAAAAAACTAAACAAAAACAAAACCCCAATAAATTCAATACAAACAAAACCCTCAAATCCACACTTTCCCACAACTCTGTAAAGCAAAAATACAATTACCCTCACTCAAAATAAAAACCAAAACCACAAACCACACAAGCAAGCAAAACAAATAAACCCTCCCAGCAGATTATAACCCTTGTTGCCTTTGTTGGTTAAAAGGGAATTGACAATCAAATATAACAATAAAAAAACCCCGGTTGATTTTAACACACACACAAGCAAGCGTTCACTCGCAAACGCTCATCCCAAACACACACTCACACACACTTGGTTCGCTATAATGCGGCTGGAACAGATACACAGTCGAGAGCACGTGAAGGAAGGCGAACAACTTCTCCCCAGCACAGCACCACGGTCAAGCCGCCACACAGCAGCAAAGCAGCAACGGACGAATTTCTGCAGCACACTTAACTGGCTCTCAATAAGAGTGGTGAACAATCCACCAATACTGCCTGAATCACGCCTGAAATGCGTTAAAGCGGTTGAACACCCTCAGGCCCACGCCCGGAGTTAAAAAATTTCAACCTTATACAGGTAGTGACGTTGACTACAAGTTCAATGCTTGATGCACATCAAATAGATCTTACGACACGATCAACATACAGCCTGTATATCATGCCAGAGGAAAAACGGAAGTAAAGAAAAATATCTGCGCTTTTTAAAGGGGCCATAAACTTAACTTCCGCCCAGCTCCATCCACCCACACAGAAAGAAAAACCTACTAAAGTGGATCACCCCATTACATCTACGGTGCCTCATCCTTGCAACAAATTGCATCCATTTCAAGCGCAAAATAGTTTAAGAAATGCTTTTTTTGGGCGTTAAATAATGCCGCAAATACTAGTAATTTAACAAGCGCAAACGTTAGTAAAACGCATTGCGTGATTCATTTGAATACTCTCCTCCCATAAATTTTGCATCTGAAAGGGAAATTCCTAGAAATGCATATTCAATAAGGTCAAGCCCAAAAATAACTGTGTCCATGCCTTTTCAGCGCCAATTCTTCACTGCACGTCTTTAGTAAAACGTGACAGTACTATTTTAACGCCAAAAGACGGTTTGCGCTGGTGGAAGGTGTTAGTAAAACTGGCCCATAGTATTTAAATTACCTGTAGTTTTAAGAATCAAGATGTTCACGGGTTTTTTTTCCACAAGATTTAAAAAGATCCTTCTTAACTGCATCATTGTCAGCACCTCTTGGTTTACAATGTTTCTATGGCAGATGATTCTCTCACAGAAGATCTTGTAGCTGGCATTGAAAGTTGGCTAATTTCTGAGAAGAAAACACATTAAAAACTAAAGATATGTTATGTGCCGTAATTATTTCACAATGGCTTTTATTTTAAATATAGTATAAATAGTAGCAAATCAAAAGCAATTGACCAAGCGATTTAAGAAGCTTTTTTTCCTTCAGAAAGAAAATACATTGGTTATGAATAATTTTTTATTTTCGGTAACATTTTACATTAAGGTTCCCTTTATAAAGTGTTTATAAAGGTGTTCATAAATGACTAACTCATTTACAAATGCATTATAAATCATTGATAAGCAGTTATAAATGCATGAATAAAAAGAGTGATTTTAATGCAATATCTGCCAAATAGTGAGCCATTTTTAACTCACATGTTATAAATGCTTAAATATATTTATTAATACTTATTTCACTCAAAACTAGATTCTTGTTTTATTTAATGATGCAGCAAAAATTTACTTTTATAGTGAGACTGAAGTGTGTTGTATTTATGGTTCTCTCATTTACATCTCATGACTCATGTTGCTTTTTGTACAATGTTTCTACATTGTTTCTTGCATGATGCCTATCCACAGCAATGATTAGAAACTAATATTTTGTTTATCAAGATGAAATTATCAAACTTTATTTTGGGGTGGAAAAAAATTAATAAATTTTAATTCCAATATTAGTTACCTCTGAACCTTAATGTAAATCATTTATGAATGAGTTATAAACGTTAATAACCTGTGTAAAGTGAACACCTGTGAACCATTTATTAATGAATTATAAACGTTAATAACCTGTGAAAGTGAAGCTTAATGTAAATTAACACATGTGAACCATTTATTAATGAGTTATAAACGTTAATAAACTGTTAAAGTTAACCTTAATGTAAAGTGAACGCACTAATAACTTATTTATTATTAATGCGCACACATATTTTATTGTTGATGCACTATATCAGTAAACACAACAACTTGAAACAACATTCCTGAGCATAACTGCACACGAAAAGTGGCTTATACAAGTAAACTCACATTAAACAATTCAGAAAAAAACTATCAAGTATTCCACCAAATTATAACTAAACATCATATCTATATGAAAAAAATATTTGATAAATGCAAGCTAAATATTTATATATCTAATGTAACAGTTTTGAAATAATCATTAAATCAATGACCGAAAGCACCGTTACAGAACATTATCATATTAATAAGCAAGCAGTAATGATTTTTGATATCATGATAAAGCCCACTGTAACTTGTGTTTGACTATC